CTTAAAAAAAAAAGAGTCAATTTTTAGCCACAACGCCGACGCATGCGCATAGGAAATATGACGTCATTGACTGGCGACCAACTGAAAACTGCCGTTAAAATCATGATTAGCTAAATTTGAGAATCGCTGGGAACATTTGTGATAATGTAAGTACAAAATAGAGAAATATAAAACACAGGTCTAGTCTTTTTAGACATTTTAATGCGTCAAAGTTACACATTATAACTTTTAAAGTAAAAATACTCCCACGGAATCGCACCTGAAGAGCAACAAGCATCTTAACATCTTAACAAGTGGAAAAGATTTCAACTGCTTTAGCTAATCTTTTATTTAAAAGTGCGTCATATTTCATAAGTTCATATCTTTTTAAGGTAAATCTTTGAAGTATCTAGTGACTAAAGCTGTCGGGTAAATGCAGTAGAGTAAAAAGTATTTTTCCCCTGAAATGTAGTGAAGTAAAATAATAAAGTAGCAGGACTTAAGATTATTAGAGTAGTGAGGACACTAGGGCCGCACGGACACCGAGCCTGCCGGTGCAGTCCGGACCTGGGAGGTTATGAAGTTCAGGGGCCGACACTAACTAACTATCCACTCGGTACCTGTGGGACCCCTCGTAAGTCGGCAGCTACTAATACAGTTTTAGGCTATAGTGTCACATATGTATTTACATTGTATACAGTGCACTCTTAGGCTGAATTCCCCATTATTTTGATTTCACATTGAAGGACAAAACATCGTGGCTTAAAGACATGAGCGGACTGTCAACAGAGGAAAGTGCTATATTTCCCAATGGACCACGAAAGGTAAGAAGTTACTGCAGTTTTAAAAAAATGTTTGCTTCGTGCTTCAAGGGAAAACAACTACACAGTAGACAAATCATTAGGTTAACGCACACAGAGCCAAACCAATGCTGCACCACATGCCTGTAACTTATCTCTCATGATGGGCATTTAAAGCAGAGTCAGAGGAGGAGGGTGTGTGTGGTTGTGTCATGGAAAAATATTATTATATAAGCAAAGGTGTCCTCCAGCAGTAGCTTTATATATAGTACATATTTTGTCAGACTATTCCTACTGTGGTTTTACCTGCAGGTTTCTTCGTAAGACTCCTTTTAAGCTGAGAAATACCTGAAGAAAAGTAAATTGCTGAAGTGCTAGAATATGTCTATTTACTCTCATGATGTGTATAACTTTCATGTGCTTAAGCAATGTCAAAATGGTGGATTAATATATTGTATTGGTTAGTTGTGAACAGCTATTGTCAGCTTGTTGAAATTTGTATCTGTGGTTTGCCAGGCCACCAAATAAAAGTGGTGCTGCAGCCTAGAATATATAGAAAGATATGAAGATAATTAGTGAACTCAGGCTTGTATGACGGTATTTGATCTTGAATATGCTGGTTTGATAGGGTGCTAGTAATCCACAGTTTTAAACCCAGTTGAAAATGTGTGAGGCCTGCCACCAGGGGGCTGTCTGCAGTCTCAACAGGAGATCATTTAATAGCATGTTAAATAAGATGTATTGTACACACTCTCAGACACAAATAACCACAGTGACAATAGTTTATACCTAACAGAGGTGTTGGGAAAAGTGTTTAGATCATTTACTTAAGCTGAATTTACAATACCCTGTTGTAAAAATACACAATTAGATGTCAAATTCCTGCATTAACAAACATAAGTATCACTAGCAAAATGTATTTAAGTATCAAAATATATTGATATTACTTATTAATACTATTATAAGCCACATTGTTGGAGTATTATTACTGATGTATTGATGTGTGCACAGCATTTTAATGTTTTGTTGTGCTTGAAATGGAGCTAATTTTATACGGTTTTATATGGAAAATCTTAGTATGTCAGAAAGATACTTGAGTGCAGTGCCAGAGTTAAATGTACTTAGTGACTTTGCACCACTGCTTAAAGGAAAGCAGGGATTATTTTCCTATAACACTATAGCTCCATGTGTCTTTTCCTCTTTTATTAGAGTTATAGAAAGTATTGAGACTTATTTTCCAGCTCGTACTTATTAGGTATCTGTAGTAGATAAATCATATCAGCCTATGGTGTATTTGTACATATGGCTACACTTGATGAAGTGATGCTGATGGTCTTTTCAGTGTCACTCACTGAAATGATTATGTGCTGCTATAATCCCAGCCTGGACACCGGCCCGGCCTGCCCATATGTAAAGTGTTAAAGCTGCTTCTCTTCACTTGTTGCAGGGTAGTAAACCAAGTGTGTGTGTTTAAAAACACGCTTTAATTTCCTGACAGATGAACTGTGGAAAGTCAAATTTCCTCATTTGATTCATACCTGTGATGTAGGGCACATATTAAACAGCTTCAAATTACTCACTCATTCAGGCATCTTTTTATTACAAAGGTTTTATACATTACTACTAACTTTAGTAATGGTTGATAAATTTATTACTTCTAAATGTTCAACAATAAACATTTACAACTGCAGATGTGATGACTTGTTAGAAAGTCAGAAATGGCATTTGCTAACAGTTTACTAACATTTATGACTGCATACTTAATGGCTATTAAAGTTGCATACATAGATTTTTTTTGGCCACTTGGGAGCAGCAGAAACAAGCTGTAAACACAACACTGCCATATTGTTGCCTTTTGAGTTGCTATGTGGCAAATCTTTGTTTATTTACACGTCCAGCAGACGCAAAGCGACATCAGCGTACATTTGGAGTCATGTTTGTGTCCACCTGATGAATGAAAGTACAGTATTCACCCTCTTTTAGCTCTGTGTTTGGTCTCCACCAGCTCCTGAGGGAAACATCTGACTCTCTAGCTGCTAAATGCTCCACTATGTTCATTAGCTTGTTGCTAACTTTATGTGTTTGTCATTTGGTGCTGGACAGGTAGTGAATATATGGTTTATCAGAGGTGTTTCAGCTGTGTGATCATCAATGTTGATCATAGTTGGTTTAAAGGGTCAAGATAAAGCTGGAGGGATGGCAGAGCCAAATGGTGGCCAGTGGTAACCATGACTGAAGCCTTGCTGTGCCATTGGCCCCCACACACTGAGCTGTTAAACCAATCTATTGAAGGTTTAACAAAAAGAATAGCCCATTAATATTTATATGTTGGCTACTTGGTCCTCATTTAGCAGTCACTGTTGCCTGAGTGAGTTAATGAAACACTCTGACTGACATAATGGCTACTCGGTCTAAATCGTGCCTCACAGCAAAGACCTGAACAAGACACACCAAAGGAAATACTGGTCTCTGTCCTGGAGGTGGATGTACTCCAGCCAAAGGAAGTGGAACAGTGCTTTTGGATCAATCCAAGTAGGACTGGTCCAAACTGTTATTTTCATGATCTAATAATGTACTTTTTGATTAATTAATTAATAGTTTAATCTATGAAATGTCAAAATTCACAGCTTGAAGCAACAGGCAGCCTCACATCTCTTCTTTTGTAAAATGTTTTACGGTTAATTAAATAATCACTGTTGAATTTGAAAAATGATTCAACAGTAAGACTTTCACATGGTCAACCAATTATTAAGTTTGTTCAAATAATAACGGCTGCTTTTGAATAACTATTGAATAATTACCACAGTTATATGTTTATTCATCTGTTTATTAACTCATCATTTAGCTTCATTATTGGAGCATATTTGCCCATTATTGAAGGGTCATTGTGGAATAGAGAAAAGTTAAAGAATAATTAAATTAATAAACTCATTAGTTGCAATACATAAAACCCTGCAGTATGGGGTATTGTAATTTTCATTGATCGATCATCATCAAGAAAATCTATCACCAGCCATTTTGATAATTTATTCAGTTTGTCTTGAAAAATGCCAAACATGAGAAGATTTGCTGCTTTTCTTTGTCATATATCATTCGTGCAGTGATTATCTTTCCGTGGTGGACTAGTGGTCACACAAAACCAGCAAACAGAACATATCAGCTTAGACTCTTCTGACATTTTATAGAACAAACAATTAAGTAATAGAGAACATAATCATCAGATTAATCGATAATGAAAACAACCATCAGTTGCAAATTTTGTCATCTTTATTAGTTCACACCCTTGGTGCTGATTTCTCCCTACTATAGCCTAACAGCATTGCCAAAGGTCAGATGTCAAAGGTCATTCTTCTCTGACCCCCCCAGACCAAGGCACAGTTAGACAACAGCACCATTTTTGCCAAATTCAAGACATATAAGATTATATCACGAGATATAAATAATACATGAGCTTAAAGAGAAGGTGAGAAATCGGCAGTGAGTGGTTTTTCATCAGGCCTCCATTACTTTGAAAGCATTATGTCTAATTCAGCATAGTGGGGCCCATAACTGACTCCTGGAGTCAGGACAGGGACTCTGGGGAGATTAGAGGGTCATGATGGAGAGACAGCTGTGATATAATGTCAGTGTGATGTAAAGAGAGAGAGAGAGAGAGAGGGGGAGAGAGAGAGAGAGGGAGAGAGAGAGAGAGAGGAGATGGACCGTGGCCAATGATCGGCAAGCAGAGAATAACTAAAGTAGAGACAGAGAGGAGATGTCATAAAGCCAGCTCCTCTCCACAGGCCTAAAATGCGAGCGAGTCACATAGGATGAGCGGAGACACAAAGCCGGATATGAAGCAAGAGGTGATGAGGAGCAGCCAGGTGGTTTAGTCCATTTATTAATTTGATTCATTAGTCCGGGTCATTTCATAGACGCGCTGGCGGTTGATACAGAGCAGCAGCCAGGTCGAGATTATATCCTGAAACACCGTTTGTCCTGAACATGATGTCGAATTCCAAGATCCTACAATAGCGGAGGCTGAGGAGGAACCGGATTCACGGGACGCATGAATTAAACAATCATCTGCACCTCACGTTTCCCCCCCCCCACCCCCCTCCCTTAATGTGCCCAAACGGAGGTGTGTGGAGGAGAGAGCGATTCGAGCCCGCAGCCGATGCCCGGAGAAAACAGCAGCCTGTGTGCAGGCAGCTGTGGACGACAGGAAGGTGGTACCCAAAGCGTCGGTGTTTATTATCTGGGATCTGACTCTGGAGGCGCGTCGCTGAGGTATGGGCTGCGCTCCCAGTATCCACGTCTCTCAGAGCGGGGTGATCTACTGCCGAGACTCAGACGAATCCAACTCCCCCCACCAGACCACCACCATCTCTCAGGGCACCGCGGCCACGCTACACGGGCTCTTCATCAAGACCGATGCGGCCGAGACCATCCCCTCCGTCATCACCTACCAGAGCCGGCACTCGCGGAACAACTCGTACCGGGATCGCAAGGAGAACAGCGGAGGACAGAGCCGCATCGAGGCCGAGACGCAGACCAGCCACACCAGCGTCAAGGTAGAGTACAGCAGGGAGCAAACACGGTGTACTGGCACTGGCACAGGCTCAGCATCATCACCGGGTCGTGAGTGAGAATCACACGTGAGGAGGCCTTAATGTTTGTTTGTTTGTTTATTTGTTTGTTATCAGAGGAGGCCCAAGCCTGTTGGTCAAATTACAGTCACTGTAGTTCATTCAGGCGGATCTCATTCACTACCCTCCCTGCTGCCGGCCATTAGTGAGCACAGTGATTATCAGTTAATGTATGACATGATAAGACAGTGGTTGTGTTAGCGGAGGATCTGATGTGTTTCACTCTGCTGTAGATGCGTTTATACTAAATGACAGACGAGCTTTCAGATTCAGTGATTTATCAATAAAAAGACTTTGTAGTTAAGCATCTATCTGACTTACTGGACCCTAGTTGAGCATCTGCAGGCACTATATTAACAATTATGTTTTATAATACTGTGATGTGGTTGTAAGCAGCTGTGTTTTGTTGTATGGTCATTAACAGCCTCCACCTTTGAGTGCTTATAGTTGTTGACAAATACATTTATAAACACTTATATCTACGTTCAAGAACATTATAGTGTGTTATAAACCATTGATTAAATGTCATCTGTCATCTATCTTTAAGTGTTACTTAAAGATCAGCTTTGACGCTAAAGTTTTGGTGGAGTTTTGACCACTTCAGACTATTTCCCGTCTCCATGCATCTTATAGATGTCGGTGAAGTTGTCTCACAAATCCCTTCTGCACATTTTCCTCACTATCAGCTTTGTCAAGAGGAGGTGTAGTCTATACTCTCTGTCTTATAGCAAAAGTTTGTTTACGGACTATTGTTTTTTATCTCTAAGCGCAGCCCAGCAGCCTCCAGGCAAAGGTTCCCAGAAACAGTATAAACTGTCAAATGAGCAGAAACGTGTATCCAGTTGGTTCGTTCTTCAGCAACAGAGTGTTTGCACCAAAGTGACAAAACTCATCTCATCCGGCCCATCTGATGTTTTACAATCTGACTTCATCCCTTTATTAAACTGTGTTAATTCCAGTGGACAGTTTAAGGCTCTGATGGCTCTGCGTGGCATCCTGAAGTTTGCTTCTGCTAAAAGTCGCCAAACTGACAGATTTAGTCAAATTCAGCATGGGAGAGAAGCTATTAGCCTAATAATCTAAATTATTAAGAAAAGATTAAATGAGTTATCAAGTTAACAGCTCATTACATCCATCACGGGGGATGACTTCAGACTTAAATGAATGTTTGTAGAAAAACTCAGGCTGTACTTACCTGGTTTTTCTGGAGCTTTCAACCACATGTGAAGGTCTTTCTCTGCGGGCAGAGCTTGTGATGACAAATGAAGAAAAGAAAAAAAAGCTAAAACATGGACCGAAGTTAAGATCTTTTGTCAAGAAAAAGGTAAAGAATGAACTTCGACACACAAAAATCAGCTTAGCTGTTGTGTAATAGCTCATTGCATTTAACATGGAAAATGTTCTTAACGTGATGAAACAAATTAATAAGTTAGTGAATGAGTTAATACATAAAAATCTGAGTTTTAAAACATCAGCCCTCCTCAGCAGTTTCACTCAGCAGTTGGGAAGTGTTTCAGCTTGTTGAGTTGTGTACACATCTTGTCATATTAATTGTGTGCTTTTCACTTGTTGATGGATCTCTCTCATGAGGGAGCATGTGAACAGATACTTCCTTATATTTATGATCGAACCCTAGAGGATATAGCTGTGTTTTGTTAAGAAGTAGTGCAGCAGATGATCGTGTCATCAGACCCTCAGAATAGATTAACCCATTCAGGCCTACAAGAGATTTGGACAGTTTAACAAAACTAAAAACTGCCATTGTTTGACATTTGTAGATGTTTCTTTTTTAAATAGAGTGTGATTAATATAATTCTGGACTGAGCGTTTAGACTTTACAGAGGCTCAACAAGCCCCACGCTCTTTAATTCTCACTTTTCATTAATTTGTTACTTATACTTGTCTTGTCTGGTCCTAATATGGAGGGAAATTGGCACAGTATGTGGTTTGAGTGAAAACATTCAGTCGTCTTAACAGGATGTTTCTCATCAGCGGCTGAAATCATAGAACATATTGCTACAGCATAGTAACATTTAGGTCCAGCATTTTTATACCTTTTATAGATTTGTGTCATGAGTTTAGGGTGGCTGTGTGTGTTTCTGTGTGTGTGTGTGTGTGTGTGTGTGTGTGTGTGTGTGTGTCAGCTGTTTCTCCGCTCTCCCTCAGCTCCCCTCTGTCTCTGAGGACTGAGAGAGGATCAATGATACCATTTATTATTAAAACCATCTGCCTTCCCCTGCAGGATCTTGATAATCTGCCATGGTGTTGATCACGCTCCCGTGTGTGTTTGTGTGTGCGTGCGCGTGTGTGTGTGTGTGTGTGTGCATGTTTATATACACAAGTCATTTGTTTACCCCTCTGGTCAGTACAGCAGGGGTGTCAACAGTCACATGTGAAGGAGCTGATGCTGGTGGCCTGTACAGAGATCCCCCCAGGGCCTCTCACACAGACACTGACTTATAAGAATATACAGAGCAGAGTGAATTAGCAGTTTCACAGCATCGTTGTGATCACCTCTCGTTTAGACGCACAAAAGTTCAGTGAACAGCAGCAGTACATGTTCACTAATCTAAGAACGCTGTCCGCCTAATCTGACAGTAGCTTTATAGAAGGATTTTTTTATTCTTTATATTTGTTTATCTTTGCAAACAAAATGACATTATTGAGAATAGAAATAGAAAGATAACACAAACAAAGTGTGCATGTGACAAAAGGCAACAGGTGACACGATACAAGAAAGAAGAAGAAAACAGGTCAGCAACAAACAGCGGCACAAAAGACCAACGTCATGATGACAAGAAACATTAGACAATCAAAATCTGCATCAAAATGCAGCCAAGAGTAAAAAAAAAAAAAGTTCACAGATCTTAGCGGATACAGGGAAACGATAAAGTAACGATGACACACTCCTGAAGGAAAAAAAATGCTGATTCTAGTACATAAATTCTGAAAGAAAAACAGCTGTTCTGGTCTTAGATCCGCGAGTCCTTGTTTGCGTAACTGTCCAGGTTTTAATTTTGGTTTACACATTACAATAATGTGAGTGTATACACCAAAGCTGAGTGTAGGCAGAGCCCGTATATCCTTTGTGATGTCTCAAAAACAAAGCCGGAGCAGTACGGGCATCACATTCTCTCATAGGTTCACATTACTATTCTCACCAATACTGAAAAAGTACATCTACGTATTCCTTGTGCTATTTGAGAGAACCTGTGTAGGAAGTGGATCTACGTTGGATCACGTGAATATCCGTTCTCACTAAGCCAAAGTTTTCACACAAAGGACGGTTTTTCAAAAATGCTTTTCAGAGTGAATCTGAATCTGTTTTTTTTTTTTTGTTTTTGTTTTTTAGCTTTTGGAAAATGTTGCTGTTTGTCTGCTCAGAAAAACCTTTGTGGTCTGTTAAGCTGTAGTGTGAGGAAGACAGCCCCCTGTCGCCTCTAATCCTCTCTGTGAGCATCACTTTAAATGTCACTGTTGAAAAATCCTGAATCCTGCCCAGGCAGAGGTGGGCTGGGGGCGGGACTCCAGCTCAACCTAACAAGGCTCACCTGAACTGATAACAGGCCTTTGTTTGCGAGAGCATGCTGCAGAATCCATTGTTGTATAAAAGTAAATCTCCTCCTCCTGTTGACTGTAAATTGATGCACTTTGCATGTAAGTTCCTGTTTATCATCTTGTTGTATTGCTTTTTTTTTTCAGTACCTTTCTATCAGCTGTTGTTTTCATTGACCTTATAGCTTCAGAATCATCTGTAGTAGTTGTCAAATGAAAGAGAAGTGAAATCCTGGAAAAAAGAGAATAAGCCAGTGTGTTATTGTGCTTCATCCGGTGTCAGTCCCGAGACTCTGGAAGTGAAAACAGCCACTAAAAGACTCACTTTCTCCTCTATTCATGTTTATTTTGTCGCACAACGTCATGGTCATGAAATAGCAATTTGATCAAGAGCTGCAGTCCAGTCACCATTGTTTTGCTTGTCTGACAAAAGAAATTGATAAATCGGTAAATGAGATCACATTGTGGGTTTGGATGCATTGAGACACTATGTAAGTGGCTGTAGAGCAGCAGTGGAGAAAGTGGAGTTTTTAATGAGACATTTTCCTGTCTTAGCGTTTCAGTGTTGAGCTGTGAGGCTGCACGTTGTTGTAAACGGTGTCTGAGATTTTGCCGACTTAGTTTGGACGTAGTCTGAGCTCAGATGGAAAAGGGGGTGTGTGAGAGCAGGAATGTCATCCGGGCTGTGAAGTGGAAAATAGTTTGGATGTTGGACTGGGACAGCTGTTTACATGCAAAGAAGTTCCTGTAGGTGTGTGTTTACATGCATGTTATCTCACCGGAGCACAGTCTGAATTTTTATTCTGCACAGTCATGTTTCCATGCTCTTCTTTTCTTTAGTTTTGAAATGTAGTGCCGAATAAAGAGTTTAATACCAGGGATCACGGTGGTTTCAGGACAAGAGACTTAATTAATTTGGTCAGTGCTGTACATAAAGTCTTGATTGAAAGTCTTACTTTGAGACTAATTCAGATGCTGCAGAATTTTGGGAGATTTCCAAACCAGATTCATGCAGGGCAGTTGGGGAATAGCACGCAGTAACAAATTGCATAAATAAATATTGAAATAATCAGGCAGAATCTTTCCCAGGATTATCCTGGATCCTCAGTCAAGAAGGATTCATAAGAGGGTGAGTGAAAGCAACTCTCTTAATAGTACCTGTTTATTTTCCATGCCAGCATTTCCCAGCATACCCTGGGTAGAATGAATAGAATTCACTGGACTGGTCACCACTCCATTGCAGCTCATAATACACTGATCCTGACCAAAACTTTTCTTTATATAGTTATTGACATCAATAACTATATTGAGTTCAGTCTGGACCAGAGTGACGGACTGAGTGACCAACATTGCCATCTCTAGAGCCATGCCGCTCGCAGGGCTAAAAACAAACGTATCACTTTCCTTTGATGGACAACAAACATGTATTTGACATTTCTGTACTGGCTGATTTACTGTAACAACACTGATACATCAGCTTTAAGCTGTCAATACATTGGATCAGCTGTTTTACTGTTCTAATTTGACTTTGGACTGTGGTGGGAACTTTGAGGAGAGAGGCCAAAACACAATGACTGCACAATATCTAACAAAGCAGAGTAGAAAATAAATGTGAAGCCCCTTTTCCACTGGTCAGAAAATCCACAAAGAACCACTAACATGGCTTTTGTCGGCGTTCACTCCGAGGTCAAATGATGCTGCCGTAGATGTGGGTCCCACACGGAGGCTCCGACACTTTCAGGATTGCTAAACCAGGAATGAGACGCAACGGATTAGTTTTAGTAGTAGCTAGTAATAGCTAGTAGCTCAACTGTGTGTGTGTGTGTGTGTGTGTGTGTGTGTGTGTGTGTGTGTGTGTGTGTGTGTGTCCTCTCCGGCAAACTCAGCTGACTGTGTAAAAGGAGTCAATCGCCTTTTTTTAGCAGGTTTACCCCCGTTTAAAAAAACCTGCTCATCTGCACAAAAATCTTGAATTATTTGTCAAAAACCCATCAGAAAAAAAGAGGATCTAATCAACAGTTACTGTAACATCAGCTATGCACAGTAATGTCCTCTACAGCGTGCTATTATTGGCAGCACGATCATCCAATCTGAAGGCTGCATCCAAGAAGCCTGCTCCCGTGACAAAGTTGCCCCACGTCCAAATATCAGTTGATCACTGAGAGCTTATCGTGTCTAAAGGACAAGAAAGGTGATAACTGTAGCAGTGTACAGACTGAGGCTGACCTCAGGTCCATCTAGGCTCGACAGAAGGCCACCTGCGCCGCAGATAAGCCGAGGCCTTGATGCAAGGACTGTGATTCACGTAAACACCGAGGCCTGATGTTCACAGTGATGAGTAATGTAAGACGATGAAAGCCGACTGCCGGGTATTTATCTGGCATTACCAAAATAAATCAAACAATATTTCAGATACAGATGGAAGTGACATAATCCATAGGACCAGAAGAAGATTTATCCCTGCCCTGAAGGCCACAATAACGTCATCCTGTATCATTTCTGATTTCTAAACAGTCTGCTGAGTTTCAAAGAGCCACACACAAGGTCAAGTCTTGATGAGAGCGACGCCCCTCTTTGTCACTTACTCAAAATGATTAGACATTGGCCTGTAAGTGTAAACAACTCTTTCTGTTCTCCAGCCATAATGTAAACTAACTAGTCATCTTTATAATCTGCAATCAGTGTAAACAGTGAAAACACCCTCAAAAGAATACGTTAAACACACAGTAACTTTGTTAAGTTTATTGCATTCTGAAGAATAAACCGTGCCATTATATATGCAGTGAAATGGTAGAGCAGGCCCTCCACAATGAAAGCAGTGTTTAATCTGTGTCCTAACAATGTATACAGTATATACAATGACATGATGTACCTGGGCCCCAGTAAGTAAGAGTTTATTTATACAGCACCTTTCAAAGCTAACATTATGAAGTGCTTCACAAAAACAAACAAAGACAATAGAGTTAGCTGAAATCACTCCCAGAGGAAGCTTTAGCATGTTAGCAATAAGCTGAAGAGCTAAGTGAGGGGGTTTAATGCAGGATGCAGGAGAGTTGAAGAGGGGGGTGATGTGAGGCAACGATACTGCTCAAGGTGAAAGGTGAAAGGTGACAGGTGCATGGCGGTGGTCTTATAGACAAGAAGTTAGGCATCGTAGATCGGCTCATTGATTTCACAGTGGATGTGAAAACTCAACTCAATCAAATCTGAACGCCAAGATTTTTTTTAGCTTCTCTGCGACTTTTATTGTCTGTGAACAAACAAACAAAAAAAGGCTGAATCAAGCTCAAAGCTAACTCCTTTACTCCATGGCAACAGTATACATCCTGCCTGCGTCCCTCAGGTTATGGAAACTGTAGTGGTGGCATGATGGTTTTGGTGGTGGCAGGGTGTAGTTGTCTGGATTTATTCTGAGGAGAAAAGAGAAAGAAATCAACACACAACATACCAAACTTACCCTGCTTATACAGCAGCATATTACCAGCTTCCAGTTTCACTTAAGTTCAGTTTCGAGTTAAGGATTTGAGCTTATTATTTATGTTCCTTTTACCGCTTGTCTACCTCTCTGAGTGTCCTTACAGCACGTTTTAAACTAATTAGATCTACTGTATATCTTTGTGATCTCACAGTGAAAATTATAAAGGTCTTTCTCTGTGGTTTAGTTCTTCTTTCCTCTCTTTCTTCCTTCTCTCCTCTCTTGTCTTCCCTCCAACTCTCTATGGACTCCGACATCTCATTTCTTTCTACTTTCTCACCTCTTTTTGAATATCTCTGGCTTCTTTTCTGTCTTTCCTCACCTGCCTGTTTTTTGAATCCTTATGAATCACGTTTATGAGCCCACTTTCAGCCTTTCTCATTTTTCTCCATTTTGCTTGTAACACTCATCTCACCTCTCAAAGGCTCTTGTCTGTGTACTCTGTCCTAAATCTTCCTTCCCCTCTCCTGTCTTTCCATAAGGGTTTTGTCACCCCCACTTAAGAGGAGGTGGTGTCCTGTGACAACTTCCCCCAACACTTCCTCCATCATCTCCTAACTCCACCGACTGATCTCCCTCCAAACTGTTCTCGCAGTGCCGAGTTGTCCCTGTTTCTACCGCCTTCCTTCCTGTTCTGTTTCACGTCTAGCTGTGTTGTCTTCGTGAAAAACAGGATTGCTCATTTTCTCGTGAAGCCTGCCTGAAACCACACTGATGTATTTGGAGTCCCTTCCTTTTTAATTATCGTCACTGACGCACTGCCTTCAACACTGACCCACCAGATGCTCCTTATCTTGATGGCTCTTTCTCTCCCTCTCACCGCTCACTCAGGTCATCTCTTATTTGATCGACATCAAGACGTCACCATGATCACCGACAGCGTGAAAGTGATTCCTGCGCAGCTTTGCATTTGTTCCCAGAGACAAACAGCTGGGATGTGAGGTCCACATGACTTTTACAACTCAATCCTGCGAGTCTGCTTTCATCAACTGACTACCTTAGATAGACGCATAGTTTCCTTCAGCTTTCTTCAACACTTCTACGTCCAAACAACCTCCCCAGTTAGAGACCCCCGGACTGTAAAATGCGCTTATAGCTCTACACCTAAATGTTTAAATCAAGTCCTCCAAATGAAAAAACAATATACTGTATTTTGCGATTGCTTTCTTGACCAGCAAAAGTTCGCATAAGCGTTTCCTAATCTGATGTGCCCGTCAGCAGGAGGTTATCATCTGTCAGTGACCCATCACTGTTACAAAAATAAAAGCCTTTTCAGATCTTACACCTCTGTGGTTGAGGTTTGGTCAGGTTCAGGTACAAAAACGACTTTGTTGGGGTTAAAGTGCTTAGTTACAGTTGGGGAACAATCTCCCATGTCGAAGGCTACGTCCACACTGCTATGTTTTAGTTTGAAAAAGCATCACTTTTGCTGCGTTTTCGCCTGCCGTAGATTTGTGACTCTACAGCAGTGTCACTCTACTTCCTCCTTTGTTCCTGAAGAGCCATAGCTAGAGTTTACCCAAGATGAGGTGCTCCCAGTCACTTAGCAGTTTTTTCAGCTGCTTAACAGTAGAAAACTCATCATCTTCACTTGTGGATTTTTAGTGTGAAGCAGCTCGAAGGAAGTGTTTTGTGTGTTAACAGCTTACAAACGTCACAAACAGCCTTCACACACCTACTTCCTGATAGCTGTTACTCTCATGCTGCAGCTGTGCTGTGTCCCCATGATGTATTTTGTTTACGGCAGCAAAGAGGCCCGTCTTCTGCGCAGGAGATAAGACATTATTATTATTATTATTATTACTGGGCACATTATGCCTTATATTTTAAAGGCCCTGAACACTTCTGTTCTCAATCAGCGTGTTACGGTGAGTGATGTGTTCAACAGGAACACTGTCAGTCCATCCTAATATAACCTCATCCACACAGTCCTGATGAAGCTTTTGAGGGTGAAACAATCAATACTATGTGTTTTGATGTGTTTTTGCTCTTTCTGCTCTTTAAATCTGAAAATGTCAACGTCCCAACATAGGACAGTATGCTTCGTGTTTGTGTAGACTGTGTGTGTGTGGCTGTACAAACTTATCTAACATAGTCATTCTCTGAAAATAGCATTGTGTTTTTATGCCATACTCCACCTGCAAGAGGTCAGAGGACAAAATAATATGAACACTAAATGAAACCTTTAACTAACTAAATCACCGTCACTGTCCCAAAGGAGGACCAGTTACCAATATTTATCAACTTTATTTATACTGCTTACTGTCTCAACACTGTTGCTTACGAATGCTGCAATTTTTTAGTTTGTTCATACATGAAGCAACATGTATGTTACCCAGAATCACACAGGTGAGCTTCCTTGTGAAGCACCCACAGGTTCTTGATGACGTTAGTGGTCAGTAAGTGGTTTGTAGTGGCTAGTTGAGACTAGGTGTGGGTTGAGGTATGTCCACCTTTTTTTAAGCCTAATTACCACCGACAAGTACTACTGTAATGATGAGTGGTTGAGTCACCGTGCAGCTCCTGTCTACCTCACTGCTTCAGTCACACAGCTGCTCTGTGACTGTGAGTGGAGTTTGTGCATAGCATGCGTTATTATGGAGCTGGTGCCTCTAGTAGAATTAAGTTAAATCCCCCTCTCAGTATTTTCTTTATCTCTCTTTTCTCTTTTTGTTGATACCTCATGGATATTTCTCTTCAGCTGGAGAGAGACCTTAATCTGGAGGATTCACCTGTGGGCTATGAGTGTTTGCTTACGAATATGTTACTGGTAAAAACAGCATATTCTAATAAATCCCTTTCAATGAGGAAAAATGACTCACCAACACAACTCAGAATTTGCTCAAAAATAACTGAATAACTGCTGGTTAATTCCCCGGCATGACACAGAGCTGATGCGATACAGTATGTTATGGTACACAGCTGATTCACCATGTGTTATGGTGCAAGCATGTGTGTGCATGCATATGCTAAAAAGGAAGCACATGTAGCTGAGTTGCTTATTCACACCAGAATGACGCATGTGCTTAAGAAGCCTGCAGAAGCTGTCCGGGCAGGCTGCAAGACAAAAACACACTCAGACACATATATATACAGCTCAGTGTGCGATGCTCCTGCAGTAGGATTATGCAAGTAAACCTGTGAGTTCAATCTGGTGGTTGGCTGCTAATACCTTCTAAAGAAGGTTCACAGTGGACAGCTCCATTCTGGGCGCTAATACTGCATGTAAATATCCATGTCTGCAGCGTAGGAGAGGCGATCACCAAACTCTGTAGTGAAGAATCCACACGTACGGATATTTGTTGTTTTTTAGGAGGCTGTTGTTCTTGTATCCTGTTTCACTCCAGACATCTGCCTTATGAGAAGTCTTATGACGTTTTAAAACTGACAGTAGGAGGTGAGAAAGGAGGTGAAGTGCAACAGGGACAGGCAGGGTCGTGCAAGGAAAAGTAATATGCCAATATGCTTCTGGACATGAATGGTAAAATGGTAAGACGTGTTCACAGCTTTCTTTTGTTTTGGTCTGTGTGTGTGTGTGTTTGTGTGTGTGTGTGTGTGTGTTATGTGCTCGGTCTGTGACAGTCACTCACACACTCATCTGTTGCCTGCAGGTTTCAGCTACAGAAGAATGTGTAGGACCTATGAGACTGACTCAAGAGCCAATTCAGGTAAGACAAACACAGACTCTGTAACATCTGGAGTCATTTTACTCACCACCAGTGTTTGAGGGAGGATGTTTGATGTTAACAGATTTCATGATTTGAATAGCAGACAAGTACTATAAACACTTATGTCCTTCAGTCTGACATAAATGATTGAATTTTTGTTTTAGAACACAAAACTATGCAAAATGCTGATTTTAAAAACCAGGAGTATGTCTTTTCTACAACTTTAGGTGATTATTGATATTGGTCTCAGTTGAAATGATTATTTCAGTTCTTGCTGTCATAATAATAATAGTAAACTTTATTTATAGAGCATTTTTCATACCAGAGATGTAGCTCAAAATATAAATTGTACATTAAAATAAGGGCAAATAGGACAATGAAATTAGACAAAGACAGTAGATGATAAAATATGTAAATGACAATACAATTATAAATGGTTATGTGTTGCTTCCTGCTTTGAAAGCAGCAGTACAGATAATGCAGTTGGCAACAAGTGGACCTACTTACATCTTGTGTAACTTGTGCACCGATATGATGATCACCAGTAGATGCTTGTGCTATGTTCAGGTCACAATGGGATTTTCTTGTTTGTTCCACTTGGAAACCAGTTACATCAGCTGATTAGCGGTAAACACAGATGGCTGTTGGAAGTTGTTTTACCTATCCTGTATCAAAGGACAATGTTTACATAATCTATACAAGAGTATGTTTACATAATCAGAATAAAAATGTTTATATAAAATGGGTAAAAGGTAATACAAGTCTGTCCTAAAACAATAGTCAGGTGCTCATACTGAAACAGGTTTTGCTTGCTCCTGTTCAGTTAGATCCTAATGTGATTTCAATGGAAGTGAAGGAGGGACAAAATCCACAGTCTGTGTTCTGTGCAAAAATGGATTCAACAGTTTGATAGTACAAGTCCTGTATGTTGTTTTTTGTTGATTTAAAGGACATAAATACCAGTTATGGATGATAATATGGGCCAAAACTGGAATCTTGACTCTTTGCTGAGCTTATTCTGATTAATTGTACGGTACGTTTTTGGCTTTGAGAGGATGCTGAGTTTGTGTGATGGTCAGATGTTCACCTCCGACTACCTGCAGACACCTTGTCGGTCGTCCTCCTGCTGGGATCATCTTGGCTGTCAACAACTTGGGAATATTGCAAGGTTAGGTAGAGTTGAGTCAGGGATTGTCTGTGCTCATCCTCCTCTGGTTAGGGATTAGGACGTGTGCTAGTCAGATTTGCCCTTATGCAACAAAGAAAGTAAGAGCTCCTGGAGGTGACCAGCTGGTGGAGATGCAGGTAACCACGGAGCATTCCCTTTGTTCTGGAGGATTCCTACGTCAGGAATCGGCTTCTTTATTAGGTGCTTTGTTTATTGCTTTGATTTAATTTGCTTCGGTTTGAGCTGCGCCGCTTTGACCGATCTCCAGGGGTTTCTGAGTTCAGCCCAGTTCCCACTCCACTGCAGTGATGTGAGAGGCCTGGCATGCCACTCATGTTCATGTTGAGCTACAGTATCCTGATCTATCCCTTCAGCCCCCTCCTTCTCCTCCTCCTCCTCCTCCTCCTCACTCTCCTCCTCCTCACTCACCAGGCCAAATAACATCGCACCAGGAATCTCTGGCTGCGTGCAGGCAGGTGGAGGGACCAGGGGCTTTATTAAAAAGCCTTCTAAGACCACATCTCATGCCCCATAAAAACCTTCAACCGCTCTCCCAAAGCAGCACACGAAAGTCGTACCTCCAGCCTTCTGCTGGATCCATGACCTCACCTGACCCTCTCCTGCTTCACTCCTTCCACAGGAACGGAGAGATGAAAAGAGGGAGATAAATGCTCTGCAGGAGAGAGTTATATATTGCGAGTTCTCCTTGACGTTTACTGTTAACTGCCTCACAGTCCTGGAGAGTTTCAACCTCTCCAGATACTGCAGCTTATCTAATGATTCATGTGCTTCGCTCACTGCATAGATAAGTGAAGGTAAAGCCGCACACATGTTGTATATTCAACATGCACGTTCCTGCAGTGGATGTATTATATCTTGTTGGAAAAATCCAAAGGTTTTGTAATTGTGCTACTTTAACCTTTAACCTGCAGGATGGAAACATTATGCAGAACTTTCACTGACAACCAGTGCTGATGACATGAAACATGACATGAAAGAATTTACAATTCAAAAGATTTGTCGATTAATTGATTAGATCAATAGAAAGTTAATTGGTAAATGATGTTTTTCGGGCTGCCGGCCCGTCTCATTCTCGTGAACGTGATATCTCAGCAACGCCTTGAGGAAATGTCTTCAAATTTTGTACAAACATTCACTTGGACTCAAAGATGAACTAAGTTGAATTTGGTGGTCAAAGGTCAAAGGTCAAGGTAATTGTGACCTCACAAAACAAATTTTTGGCCATAGCTCAAGAATTCAAACACTAATTATGACAGAATTTCACACAAAATAATAATAGTAGGCTAAAATTATGAAGTGTGGACATTTTAATATCCAACAGGTCAAAGGTCAACATCACTGTGACATCATAATGTCCTGCAAAAACACATCTGGTCATTATTCAACGCTGTAGCTCAGGAACAGATGGGGAGACTGTGTAAAGTGGTGACACTGATCTTGAAACTGTAGTGACTGTGTAGAGCTTTCTTGGCCAAACACATGAACACAAACACAGAGTTTGTTTTGCTGGATGAACATACACATTATTACAGTAGACGTGCGGCAGAAAAACAGCAACAAAGCTTAACTGTAAATAAGTCAAGTTAAATCAGTTTTATTTATATATCCCTAAATTCCACAGTCTTCACTACATATTTTGCATGAGTCTGGACAGACTTGGATTTAAACTGGTTGGCAGAGGCATAAAACCTGAGGCGGTGATTCCAGTTTAAGCAAAAATGCCACGAATTCACAGGTTCCAGTTTTTCGAATAGAAAACAAAACTGGTTTTCTTCATCTCCTGTGACAGAAAACTGAATATCTGTGTGTTCTGGACCAAACAAACAGATTTAAAGTTTCTCAATTAATATTGAAAAATGTCAATTAAAATTTATTTATTCAAACTACTTGTTTTATCCAACAAACCAAGTTTAAGAAATCCAGCAAATATTCATGTTCCAGAAGTTGGAATCAATAATTTCTTTGTTTGTGTGTGTGTGTGTGTGTGTCTTTTGTTAAATTTCACAAAATCCAATTATTATTATTATTATTATTATTATTATTATTAATATTTTATAATTACTACAAAAACCTTTCACAGCAGAAATCTTATTCACTCATATTTTGTATAAAACGCCCTGAGATTCTGTGCAGTATAATGACATAAAAACTTAAATCCTTAAACATAAACACAGGATCTCAATGGGCCGCCTTTACTTTCATGTGCTATCTCTGATTCACTAAGACTGTGTTACACTCCCACACAGATGAAGTGCTCACAGCTAGTTAGCCCAATGACTGACTCTGTGTTTGGGAGTCTCCTAACGTCAGAAGGCATCTGGCCTGGGTGTGCAAACCTGGAGGATTAACCTCTGAACTCTGAAAATGTGAGTCAGTTCGCAGCAGAAGTCAGGGATAAGCCTCGGTGCCAGCTGAGCACTAACTGCACAGTGTTTTCATACAAAGTGACTGCTTCGTTTGTGAATCTAAATATGCTGTAAGTTAAAATATGTATTTACTTTAAGGATGATGTAATCAGGTAATTGTGGAAAATATAAGTTCATTTGTGTACAATTAGCAATGAGTTAACACAAGGCTGTGTGTGTGTGTGTGTGTGTGTGTGTGTGTGTGTGTGTGTGTGTGTGTGTGTGTGTGTGTGTGTGTGTGTGTGTGTGTGTGTGTGTGTGTGTGTGTGTGTGTGTGTGTGTGTGTGTGTGTGTGTGTGTGTGTGTGTGAGAGACATGATGGAGTGCAGCCATGTGTTTCAGTGTGTTTGACTGGGTGTACATCAGATGGGGGTTATTAAGACCAACGGCGCCCCCTCCATGCTCGTCGCTGGTGACATATTTGGGTGGCAGGTCAGAGATGTGTGCGGTCGGCGTCGTCCCGGGGTCGGCTGGGTACTCTGTGTGTGGAATTTCACATGCTAGCACCATGGTTACACAAAGCAGTGCCATGGTTACACAAGCCAGCACGGGATCAAAGACTGTGGACCTTTCACAGGCACTCACCAATACTAGCTCATTTTCTCCCCCTCGTCCTCTTCTTCTTCTTCTTCTTCTTCTTCTTCTTCTTTTACATCTTCTTCTTCTGACGCTCCCACCTGTTCTTTTTTCCCCATATTCCATTTTCAGTTTGCCCTATCTACAGGTGTGAAGGACGCCATATCTAGATATCGTACTTCTCTTCCTGATTTTAAAAACTGTGCAGGAAGTGTTGGGAGTCGTGACTCTGTTTTTCACCCACTCTCTCTGTGCTGCACCTCCCTGCACTCCCTCTGTCACTCTATCCTTTGTTGTCCTTAGAGGGAGTCAGGAGGTGATGCTGCTGCGAGGCAGAGCTGAGCACTGTTGGTTCTGGCTGCAGCCCAGCTGCCTGTGTGTGCATGAGAGCGTGTGTGTGTGTGTGTGTCTCTACTGTACGTGCCTCTTACACTGCTCTATTTCCTCACCACTGTACCAAAGGTGGCTGGTGTGCTCGTGGTCAAAACACAGTGTGGGATCAAAAACACGAGTCTGCGCTCTGCAGGCTTCAGTTCTGTCGGTGTGAAATACAGAATTCATTTGCGATTGCGCTGCTCGCTTAAACGCTGGAGGAACAATCAACGGGGGGGTGGATGTTAGCGTGACATACACATGATGACGCCGTCTGTTCAGCGGTGCCATCCATCCATCCATTTTAAATACCCGCTATTCAGGATCATGGAGGAGGCTAGAGTCTGTCCCAGCATGCACTGAGCAAAAGCCAGAGAGGCGTCCCGTACAGGTTGCCAGCTTGTCACAGGGAAAACAAGCAAACGCATGAACACACTTGCAGTAGATGGACAGTTCACACTGAAGTCTTCAGTTCTCCTGAGATGTGCGTGTCGTGGGACTGTGGCAGGAAACCCACATATAGTCAGACCAGCGGGGCTGAGACTGAAAACCAGGACTGTCTGACTGTGAGAGGACACAGCTGATCACGTAGCCATCACCATTTTTTATTTTCTAAAATTTTCAGATTTTCTGATCAGTTTTCTTTGATTTTTCTAAAAAAAATTGTGTTTGTTTGTTTGCTTCTTTTCAGAAAGAATGAATGAAAGACATTTATATTGACAAAACAAAATTTAATTAAATTGAATTTATTTAATAGGGACAATGGCATTTTACATAGTTCCAGTACAAAACGTGAAACTGATGTGTTGCAAAGAGAGTTTATAGCTACTGCTAATCTTCAACTCTTGTCCCTAGTTGGGCTTTTGATTGGTTGTTTTGTTTTGTAAATGCGTTCGTGCAAAGTGTTGTTTCAAAATAAAGTAAAATAAAAGAGGAAAAAAAGAAATGAATCCCTTCCATAATGCACACACCGCTTACAGTGACCTCAGAGCAATGGACAAGATGCTTGAATCATCCTTTAAATTGTTTTTAAACTCGTCATTATAATTCTTATAAAAACACACTGAGGAGCATTTAAAGCTTCACTTTGGTCTTTAGAGGATCAAATTTAGTTATTTTACCCCCTAAACTGACTTCTTCCACATGTGCTTTCCAACTTAAAATTTTAATGTGAACAATTTACAGGTCTGTAAAGGTATAAATTAAGCGGTTCTGTCCACTATAGTGGATATAAAGCCCATCCATTAGCTATACCCTCTTATCCCTGTGGGTTGCGGAGGAGCTGGAGCTGATCCCAGCTGACATAATATATAAAGTCTCACATTTTTAAAATAACCTCAAACTCCACAGGGTTTGTCTCCGTCCATCTATAGCAGTCTGGCAGGCTTTTCAATGACTCCTTGAAAACTGTATGTCCAAAATGAGTGAAAGGGTCTAACAGTCAAACCTAGTCCACCTTCAGAAAGTTGAATAACTCGGAGCTGCTGTCACATTGGAGGGTTTTGGCACAAATTTCCATTTTCTATGTCTTAAAAGAAGGAGGTTTAGCAGTTGCACTTAGTGGCTATTCAGATCATAAATGTCAGTAACCTTGGTAGTGCTTTAACCTTGGTGTCAGTATTACAGCTGCTGCTCTGTTACCACAGTTTATCACAGCAGTAGCATCCCCGTCTCACCCAGGCGTCCTGCTCCCTTCTGTCTCCTCAGGTCCTGCTGGTGTTCGCCAAGGAGGACAGCCAAAGCGATGCCTTCTGGTGGGCCTGCGACCGCGCTGGCTTCAGGTGTAACATCGCACGGACACCCGAGTCCGCCGTCGAGTGTTTCCTGGACAAGCACCACGAGATTATAGTTATCGATGGACGTCACTCACGCTACTTTGAGCCCGAAGCCGTCTGCCGGTGAGTTATAACTGTGTGACCGACGTGGCAGCTGTTATTTGACTTCTCCTAGAAATTTGCTTAAAGAAATAGTTTCATGAGAAGGCTGACAACGCACTCATGTCTGTACTGTAAATATAAAGTCATAGCCAGCTCAACTCATCACAAAGGCTGGAAACAAGGGGAAACAGCCTGGCTCTGTCCAAAGGGACAAAATCCACCTACCAAAAACCTCTAAAGATCAGTAATCTGACCAAGAAATAGTCTGGCCCATCCACCTGATGTTTTTACACTTCACTACAATGTGTTTGTGAGCTTGAGAGGTGTTGTGTGGACCTTTTGGACAGAGCCAGACGAGCTGTTTCCCCCAAAAATGTCTATTCCTTTAATCATTGCAACTGCACATTGATTCCTTCGAGCACTTGAACTTGGACCGTGATCTTGGCTTCTTCTCCTGTTGCTGTTTTCAGACCAACATGTGTGTTTGACATTAAACAAAGAGTTTGAAGGGCGGAGAAGTTTTCAAACAAAGAGCGAGTAATTCCTCACTGCAGTCAAAAATAATCAATAGCAAAATTATGAGGGTTTTATTTTACTGTAAATGAGTAATAACGAAGAATATCCAGAGTTCATGTCTAAGGCAGCTGCACGGTGTGGAGGGCTTGTTGGCGCCATCTGGTGTTCACTTTAAAGCACCACAGGCAACTACAACCTGAGGCTGCACAAACTCCACGGACTGACGTCTGATAGCTGGAGGCTCACTTCAGTGTTTTTGCTCTAAAGAGAAGCAGCGGCGGACACGGCATCTCACAACTCATAAGAGGCTATTGAAACAGAGTGGCACTCGAGTGAGCTTCATCTACAGATTGTGAGTTTGTTGACATGAAGGCTGGATAGCGGCCCAGGGGGAACCAAGAGGAGTTCAATTGTAGAAGCTTGAACATTTTTTTATTTATTTTTTTTCCACAGCAAAAAGCCCCTGGACACTTTTCAGAGACCTCTTTGATTGTAGAAATAACCTCACGCACTGCCTTGTTCTTGCCAGCTGTTTATGTTCACACTGGTAAAAACGGGTCTGTGCTATGTTTGTCCCCATTACTTTCTGGCGTGCATTGGCATTTCAAGATTTGTTTAGGAAGTATTTATAGTCCCATATTTTGCACAAATTCCTCCAGATTCATTCTTTGTGAAATTTAAAGTAAATAAAAGCTGGATATTCTTCTGCTTTCCGACGTCTTATTATACAAAGGATGTGTGTTAGGGGCCTTTTGAAAGGGGGGGTTTCCAAGGCCCAAAGTGTTTAATGGTTGTGTTAATGCCTGTGTGAATACCTTATTTATGTTTAAACATCCTCTCTTTTCACAGCCCTGGTATTAAGCTGGTGAAACAGTTGTATCGCTCATTATTTTTAGCTGAGACGACCTCTGTGTTTAATTCTGTCATGATTTCTGCAGACTGCTGGGCTGTAGTTATTGTTAGATGATACAGTGCGAACCCATCCAAAGTTCTTGGTTACACTAAAAGCCACCACCGTATATTTTGCGGAGTGATTTATTGTAAGTGCTTCATTATTTCCCCAAGTAAAGGAACAGATCCATTCGTCTCTCCTGTCTCCTGATGACCACAGTTTGGCAGCTGCTCGCTGTTTGTCCATTGCTCCTTCACTCCTTTCCTTGTCACTATTTTTTCTTTCCCTTTTTTTCCCCCCCTCCTCCCATCCCTATCCGTCATCTGCTCCCTCTGTTCCTCCTCTTCATCCTCCATCACCATCTTCTTATTCCTCCTCCACCTCCGGTGCCACTTTCCCGTACGAGGTGCCAGTGGTGTGGCTTCGTGGTCGAAACCTCTGAAGCAGATGTTGTGTTTGGTGTTTCTGTGTCTTTTTGTGGCAATGACATCACCCCCCCTCCCCTCCTCCAATCTGCCCACATGTTTACCCTACACCTGAGTCCAAGCCACTTCTCCTGAGCTCAAAGTGTTGATGAGATGAACTCCTGTTGACTTTTAATCCATGTCTGTTTTATTTCCAGGTTGATCCGCGCCACAAAGCCCTCGGAAAACACAGTCATTCTCGCCGTCGTGCCACAAAAGTGAGTTTTGAAGTCTTCCATATAGCGTGGACCACTGACAGCATGTTTCTGAAAAATGATCGTGGTTGCACATGGTAATAATTCTTTTCTGTCACTGTATAGACCGCCTGACCAGGACGAGCCATCTGTTCTTCCTCTCCTCTGTGCTGGATTTAGCAGAGTACGTCCAACGTCTTGCTTTAGCCTGTGACTGTGTGTTTATAGCAGACGAGCGTAGGCCTCGGTGTGTTGTCCTTGTTTCTCGTAGATGCTTTAAGAGACTTGAGGCACTAAAATAGCAGCACGTATTGAAAGAGGCTCTTATTGTTCAGCTGCGTTCGATGGTGTGAAAGTGACGTAGGTGGTTGCAAAACAAGTCGCTGCTGAGTGAATCCTGACTCATTCAATTTTCCTCTCGTCTCTCTCCGTCTCCTTCAAACACCACTTAACCCGCTTTGGCCTCCAGAGGTTTGTGGAGAACAGCAGTGTGTCCGCCTGCTACAATGAGCTCATACAGATTGAACATGGAGAGGTGCGCTGCCAGTTCAAACTCAGGTACAGCAGAGCAAAAACACCATCATGTAGTCATATATACACGCATAAATATATATATTTATATATACAAGGTGGCGTTGGTAGTGAAGGCACTATTCCTGCATTCTGAGCTGCTGTGGCTTTATTCATCCGCAGGGCTTGTAACTCTGTCTTCACTGCTTTGGAGCATTGTCAAGAGGCTGTGGAGATCACCAGTGAGGACCACATAATACAGGTAGGGATGACACATATGCACATACATGCACACGCAGTACAAACAGAACCAAAAGGCACAAAGCTGGAGATATTCTAAATGTTATATTGTAAATAATTTCCCTGCCCTGTCTGTGGGACTCAGCTCCAGGCTCATTGCTTCTCACTAAAGGTTAGGGGCTATCGAGATATGAGTCACCATCTCAGTTGAAATGATCGTTTCTGCATTTCATTTCATTTTTTTTTTAAAACTGATGATTATGATGTTATTTTTTGGCGGGGCTTGTACCAAACAAACGTGTTCCTTTTACGTCTGGAGAATATGGCCTGAGGGCCGGGGCGTCTCTGTAGCACCACGACGGCACAACCTTACCTTTTCATCAAAAACATTGCAGCTGCTGCAATCGTTGCCATTTTTGATTATGTTTTGATTAAATGTGGAGCCCAACTAAAGATGTGAATCTATAAAACAGGTCACAAATGTAGGCCCTATGCTTTCAATTACAATAGAAGGCTGAATGATTTCCTAGAGCAGCTGCATCTGTAGTTCCCATTAAACATTATAAACACAACTCAAACTGAAGTGAATACTGTAATTATTGGGGACTGTTTTTAGTTGCGGATATGATGCACTAGTGACATTGTATGTGGAATCTATATAAAATAAACTACGGTGCCCGTGTCTCTTCCGAATGAAGAAACATGACGACAATAAATAGAAATATAGAATATAACCGTGTTTTAACTTTAACACCTTCCTGGTTTCGCCCCAGTACGTGAACCCGGCGTTCGAGCGGATGATGGGTTACCACAAGGGGGAGCTGATCGGGAAGGAACTGACTGAACTCCCCAAGAGCGACAAGAACAGAGCTGACCTGCTGGACACCATCAACACCTGTATCAAAAAAGGAAAGGTCAGTCACACAGTCCGTCCATCCATCCATCCATCCATCCATCCATCCGTCCCTCTGTGCGTTAAGAGATCTCTGTTTCATGGCCTGACTGTTCTGTTGTCTCTGAAGGAATGGCAGGGCATTTACTACGCCAGAAAGAAGTCAGGCGACAGTATACAGCAGCATGTGAAGATTACACCTGTCATCGGCCAAGGAGGGTAAGATCACCTTAAACAGCCCAAAGTAAAGACTGTAAGACTATAGATTCTCAAGAGGTAAGAAATCCCTGACAGGTTCTTCTCTCTCTCTCTACAGTAAAATCCGACATTTCGTTGCAATCAAGAGACCTCACATTGACAACAACAATCAGGTGAGTCATTTTGGTTATGAAACTCTGTGCTCAGTGATGATTTCAGTCATCACTGGATGTTTAGCTGCGCTCTAATAACATCTGGAGGCTGGCTGAGATCAGCAGAGGTTCTTACAAGAAGTCAAACAAGAGCTTTGAACAAAGCGTAGCCATAAAAAAAACATCTCCATCACTGATCAGATATGGACCTGGGCTAAAAATTCAAACCTGGAACACCCTTTGTTTATCTGCCCAAAACTAACAGCACCTGCACATTAGCAGCACTTTGAAACTTGAAACCGCTCGCTCTCAAATCTGTCCAATCTGCTGCCGATTTGCAAAGTCAGATGATAAATCCTCAGTTTACTAGCAGCTGTTTGGAGAAAGAAAACGCTCCTACAAAATTTACAAAAGCCTTTGACTTCAATAAGCCCACTTTTGAAGGATCACAGTGAGCTGGGTTTGCTGTTGTGTAGCTTAAACAAACGTCAGTCCGTCAGCAGTCCTAATGCTACGGTGCAGCTTGGCCCAATCAAGCCGATGGAGAAATGAATGATTGAGTCCAAACTGGACTCAGGCATTGATTTGATTGAAAACTCTGCTGGCAGTAAGTTTTACATAAATACTTCAGATGAACTGGAGGCTAGAGTGTCAGATTTAAATACTCCCAACAGGGCATGTAGCCTCACAGGCTGCCAGCTCTGCTGAGGAGTGTGCACAGCTCCTCTGAAGCAGCTGTGTCGCTGCTCTCAGCTGGGTTCCAGGCCAATAACGTCATACTACGCTAAGCTACGGCTAAGCACCAGGATCCCCGGCTAAGGCCTGGGAGGGCTAGCAACCAGGCGCCAGGGCTATTTATACCTCAGGCAAAGCTGCACAGGGACTAGCTTTAGCTCATTGCTCCCTTTCATCGTGTGTACATAAGGTGAGTCAGCCGTTGGCATCTCCCTGCCAAAGCCAAATAGCATTCATTCCTGCTTGTTGGGATTGGGAATCCTTCGACATGGCAGCAACTGAGCCCATTCCCGAAATCATGGAAGTCACCCCACACACACACACACACACACACACACACACACACACACACACACACACACACACACACACACACACACACACACACACACAACCTGAATTTTGCACCGTCAAACTGAGCGGTATTATCACAATGTCCCTTTTTTTAAACTTCATTTTCAGCGGACATTATGGGAGTAGGAACAAAAGCTTAGTATTCAGTGGCATTTTAAACTACAGCGTGTTGTGAGGCGTGTACTACATCCCCACTGAGACACCATTATCTACTTGACAAGCCAAAGGCCACAGAGGTCTTTTCAGGAGACCACTGATCTGATACTGTTTCCCTGGTTGGGACATTTTCCTCTGAGCAGTTAAAACCCGACATTATTCCTCATCTTTTCCCACCCAGACGTTTTGGCTGTAGAGCACGGTTTCCATTTCATTGTGTTGTTTAGTTAGCAGTATTTGTCTTAAGCGCTCCAGACTTACAGCAGGTTTAGGGTCAGTTTTGTTTGTCTTTCCCTCTCAATTAAGGGCCATCATAATCTCAACTATTTCCCAGCTTTTAGTCAACTTAATTCAAAAACTGTTTTTTTTTTTTTTTAGATGTCTGTTTGTGAGACAAGAAGCCCAAGCCCAAGAAGCCCATTAAAATGCAGCCAGCTAAATCTGGCAACCTTGTATGTCATTAGAAGTGTTTATACTGTCTTAATCCTATTTACTCAGTATGGGACGCACTGGAGACCTGAGAACAAGCAACTTAGAAATCTAGAAAAGGAGTCCTTTTAAAAAAGAGAAAATGAGCAATTGTCTCACGGTGGCACGGATCCTGAAAATGACATTTTACATACACACATTTCAGACACCCATTTCTCCATGTTTAATTAGATTTGTCTGATTTTTATATATAAAGATGAATTAATAGTTCATTTGGATGAACTCTTTCATCATCACATGAATGTGCACGATGCACTGTCAGCAACATGTTAAGGTGCAGTGAGTCACTGGCTGAGGAAAATCTGCTGTAACCGGATTAGAGGCTCTTCATCTCCATATCTACATAACCTGAGCGTGACTAACAGGATGTACTGTACAAATTGTCACCTGCATGAAAATATATTATTATGAACGGTGGGAAATGTGCTGTCAGGTTCATAGTTGTGGAAAATGTAGCTCAGAATCTTTTTTAACATCTTATTACGTTTATAAATCGTCTCTCTTGTGAATCTTAAGCTTCTATTTAATGTTTTTTAAATGAGATGATAGTAAATATTTTAGTCATGAGAGTTAGAGAGATAATCTAACAAACTGGTATTTCGTCTTCACTTCTAATGTTCTGTATTTGGCTCCACACAGAAAGTCACCTGCTGATTTTCTTCATGTACAAACGTGGAGAGAAACTGAGGTGTTAGAGAGTTTAAAGTTTTCAGGCTGACAGAAGGGTTGCAATGCCTTTGTTTTTTACCTTTTTAAGGTTGATTATTTTACTCAAAAAAAAGACTATAATGACATCTATAAAATACAGATACTGCACTTTGCCTTCGGATAATCTTCAGGGAGTGTAAGGAGCAAATACAGAATATAAACAAAAGGCTTTTCTTTCAATTTTCTTCTATTTAAATGGTTCTTTTAAGAAAATAACCTGTATTTGGATTATTTACAGTTAATAGTTGAAATGTATTTGCTTTGCTGGGATTTTTTTCTACTAGTAAAATACATTAAAATCAATATTATAAGAAACGACACTTAGCTGGAGTCGCACAGCTGTTCAGGTCGAGTAAGTGTTGACATATCAGACATCAGACGTTGGGCGGCTCCACGCACAGACGGTATTCAGTGTAATAAAAACATATGTACCATTTGTAATTCAAATGCACACTAATCAAAGACTCGGACTTTAATCTGCTCCTGCTCTGTGTCCATCAGGTCCACAAGTTCAACAAAGAGGAGAGATGCAGTGGGGAACATTCTCAGTCAGGTAACTGACCACATCACAGTTTTTAATGTCATTTGCGCCTCTTTTCTAATTCAAACAAAGACTAAAGCTGGAAATGACATTTCTCTTTGCTCTGTTTGTACGACGTGAACAAAAAAACAAAACGTCAGCAGCAGCGTTTTATCAAAGTGGACAGAATTACTGTCCAGATAGTTAGAGGACACTGAGGATTCTGGAAATACCTTTGCATCAGTATGTGCTATGAATTATGTTAGAAATGATGAGTTATGAATAAATTACCTTCTGGGGTTTTCAGTGTAATTGTAATGTATAAGAGGCACAAACTGGGACGAGGTTTAGAAGCTCTTTACAAGCAAATATATATAATCCAAGACTCTCCATTACTCTAAACATATTCCGTACATTTAATGTCCATGACTTCCCTGTGCCTCTCTGCAGAGTGCCATTCTCTGCGTCACCGGGACAGGAGGAAAGATTCAATTGATGCCCGATCGCTCAGCTCCCGCGGCAGTGACGGTAAGCCCCATTCAAACGGCATCATCTGTTTGGATGAATGGAGAGACTCTGCAGAGGAGATGAGCAGGAGAGGCAGAGAATGACGAGGGGCAATGGGATAAATATGCAATGGGAGGAAATAAGAAAAAAAGTTCTATTACAAAGGCGGGAACACAAAGGAAGAATGAGATGGAGAAGGGGCAGATGATTGGAGATGGCAAATCAGAGAATGAGTCAGCCTGTGTTGTGGTTGGTACTTGAACTAAAGAGATCTTAAAGAGAGATACTGTGGGCTGATGACATTACAAACCTCCCTCCTCAACTCACTTTGACGCAGCTGCTGCTATTTTCAGGTATCTCAGCTGAGTGCTGCTTCTCCCGCTTCCCTCTTCTCTAATCAACCTGTTTTTCTAACTCTTCTCCTCCTGACATCCTCATTTTCACATTTCTTTATTCTTTACATTTTACATTTTCTATAAATTCTTTTTTTTTTTATCTTTTATTCATAAGCCCTCTGATTAGGCCTAACTGCTGCAGACCCTGTGATATCTTTTTCTGCTAAAATATTAAAATGAGTAAATAATCAGGGTTTGGCTCATTGATTATTATAATACACAAAATCTTTTTTTTTTTTTTTTTTTCTGAATTACAGCTCCCAGTTTACAGAATCGAAGATATTCCTCTGTTGCCAGGATTCACTCCATGACCATCGAGGCTCCCATCACCAAGGTACGCAGCGTTCAGCATTCAGTCGTTTTGCAAACCTAATGGTCCCACGCGGAAAATTATCTTTGACATTTCAGTTTTGAAGTCTATTTACATTCAAATCTGCACTTTCAACAATCTGCAGAATTTATTTTCTCTATTTAAGTGAAACAAAAGACATTTTATGTACATTTGTATTTTTGTGAACAGGAAAAATTAGTAAAACTTACTTCTACATGTGATTTCTTTTAACTACATCATACTTGTTCTTAACAGTTGTTTCAGCATTTCCTATACACGTCAATGTTGAAATGGTTTGTCAATGTCCACATCTGTTTTTGTACTTAAATTTCTCTTTGTTTAATCATTATTAGCTTTATTCACATCTGGATTTACATCTTCAAAATTTCCTGAAAACTTTTCAGATAAAGTAATTTCAATTTTTTTTTAATGAATTTACATCTCAATGAATTGAATAGAGTGTGTTTTTAAAAAAATAGGGGGGAAAAAATGGTCAGATATTTTTGGGCCTTACATACTGTAGTTCAAGTGCTATCGATGGCTGACATATGACAACATTAAATGTTCTGAGAAAACCATGTAATGGGGTTAAGGGAAGCTATCGTCTGTAGGGATCTTCCTCCAGTAATCAGTTTCACACTGAATCCTTTATGTAAGTCCACGCCTTCAGCAGTGAGGAGAAATCACTGAGCTCATTCTTCGTTCTTCACATGTCGGGTTTTCCCTGTGAATGCAGTTCTCTTATGGCTCATTACCAGCCGGTTTCATCAGGAGATGCACACAGTTTGATTGCAACACCTCACTTCTGTCCGTTTGAATCCCTACCACTTTAACGTATCATCCCAACACCACAGAGCCATTCAGCGTCCATTAGGAGCCGTCTTCACTGCCTTAATGTCGTTTGACCGAGCCGATAATGGAGGGTTTGCCTCTTAACAACTGCTAATAGGCAGACATAACAACTAATATGATATCCTATTAGTGAGAAGATGTGTCACTGCCTTGCCTCTCTTTCTGCCACATGATATTTAAACTCACTTTCTTGCTGAATAACCAACTTTATGCACATATTTTCATACTTCAGGAAGTCCTGCTAACAGGAAGCTGCAATAGACAGACATAAATACAAACATAACCCCCACCCAACCCCACTTTCTGCAGTATTCGTGCTATTCTGCATTGTACAGTGTTTTGTGGATAATTTAATTCTGACTGCCTGCTAGATTGTCCCTCAAAAGTGTCACTGTTAATAATTGTGAGGTTAACATTAAAGCTGTAAAACTGTATCCCAAACCAATAACTTTTAGTGGTGAAACTAAATATTCAACTTTATTTTGCGGATGATCTTATTTCCTTGCAGGAGACGAGATAATTAGCAGTAAAAGATAAATTTCATTGTTCCCGTGCTCTACAGGAAGATACATTTCTGGTGATTATTTACAGCATGGATGATAATGTTGTGAAACACACACCATGTCTTTGGACTCCTTGTTCTGCGCCACTATTTACAGTTGATGCTGTCAACATCAGGGGATTTGTTCTTGTGCGTTTATTTGTGACGATCACATTTTAACAGAAACATTCAATGATCGGGCTCTGTGAATTTTCCATGACGCCACTGACCCCACTGTCACTATGCTGTGAGCAACAATAAACCCAGGTCAAGCTGTCGGCTGGGTCATAATTTCATAATGTACGGTATAGAGTATGTCGCATTGTCTCTCTACTTCCTGCTGCAGGTCCGGTGATGTTCTTATGTGTTCAAACAGCAGCTGTATTTAGCTGTTTCGCCCCAGTCGAGATGTCTCCAGCATCACATGCGCATCTCCATGACACATGCACAAAGAAAGGAGCGCTCTGTTACGCTCGTGTCTTGCAGAGGGCTCTTTGTGCATCTGTCTTTGTGTAATGTCTGTTTTGCAACAGAGTCGGGACTTTTTCTTTCCCCCCCTCCTCCCCAGGTAATAAACATCATCAATGCGGCGCAGGAGAGCAGTCCGGTGACTGTGGCCGAGGCCCTGGACCGTGTGTTGGAGATCCTGAGAACCACCGAGCTCTACTCCCCTCAGCTCGCCTCCAAGGAAGATGACCCCCACACCAACGACCTGGTTGGGGGGCTCATGAGTGTAAGAGGCAGTATAGATTCTTAGTTTATTCATAAGTGTAGAAGCTTGAAACACTTTATAATGTTAGAAACATGTTCTTACCTCATACATGTGACACTGAACATTCTTGTTCAACAAAGACATTTTTGGCTTCCAAACGCAAATCAAGTCTGTATTTTCAGAGTGGCAACAGAGACTTTGTTTATTTTATTTTTTTTTATTTGTTGAATAAGCTGAACTATGAGGTGAGTCACCGAACACAGATGTTTACGTCTGTTCTGAAACAAGTTTTCAGATCCATCAGATGAAACGGCAACATCCAGCAAGACAGATTTTGTTTATTCTATTTAACAGATAAAACGGTTGAAATTCTTTCTTTTCCTTTTCTTCTTTTTTCCCCAAACACTGTTGCACTGGGTGAAATGTTCCCTCTTTACCATGAACACACACACACACACACACACACACACACACAAACACAAACACACACTAGTTTATTTTGCATACACAGTCCCGCTGCCAGAAACACTCACCAAACGTGTGTTAATCCGCAGCTGAAAATAGTCTCTGACAAATGTATTATTTACAGTACAACAATTTGAAGAACATCTCTGAGACACAACACTGATGATTAGGAATTACTGAGTCTTTTAAAAACACAGTTACAGATGTGTATGAGGTTTGTTTTTTTGTGTGTGTTGAGAAGAAACAAATGGGCCCAGAGCTGCAGACTGGCTGCGGAGGTGGGAAAGTAGTAGGAGATGGACTAACATATTTGTCTTTTTGGGATATTTTTACATAAGAAAATAACAACAGAATCTTTTATTCTCTTGTTCCCACTGATAGTAAATATTTATCTTTTGCAGGAAAGTTTTATTGCATAAATTCTGGCACTAATGTGCTTCTATATTTGTAATTAATGGAGCTGTTTCTTTTTGTTTGTCCAGGATGGGCTGCGAAGACTCTCTGGGAATGAATATGTCTTCTGCAAAAGTAAGTTTTAAGGAACCAATAAATTATCATATTATGCCACCAACCATGTATAATTATAAAACAATATAATACAATATAATTACTTCTTTGTGGCTGATTAGACCTGAGGTATTAAGTGACGTTACCGAACACCGTGCACTGATTGAAGTTGCACGTTGTCCAGCTGCTAACAGATGCAACAAAACTAACAGAGGGAGGAAGACGCCATTCAAACCCTTATAGTTCTGAGAAGAAGAATATAAAAGAAATGATTATTCACACTATAATGACTAAGACGAGCCAAACAATGTTGAGTTAATGTCCGAGTCAAGAACGTGTAGGAGTACAGACCCTCATCACCACACAGATTATGGAACATGACGGCCGCTGCCTCCGGTGAATCTCATGAATAAATGTTGAGCTTAAGGTGGTTATTGTCAAGATGAAAGCTTCACCATGTTCTTTTAGCTTTCTACCCTGTGAATTCTTCCATCTGAATTTATTATTATGAAATACCCATTATGATGATTAAAGGCACAAGAACACTTCACTGAGAGAAGATCAAAATCAAGAGTCTATTAGCGAAGAGATTCTTCTTTTTCATCAAGATGAAAACAGTGTCCTTACAGCAGAGCTGCAGCTCCGTCAGCTCTCGCACAGTTTTTAAACAATCTTATCACACACCATCTTTGACCCACACTCTCAAAGGAGCAGATTTACAAAGTGAGACTCTTAGTCAGTGTGTTTGCACATGTATATAGATGTTAAAGAGCCAAGACTGGTACAGTCATTCAATATTTATCCGTCAGATCTCATGCAGAACTGCCTCTTGCTTTGCCCCCTTTTATGGTCAAATCACCTTGAACCGTGTGTGTGTGTGTGTGTGTGTGTGTGTGTCTCTGTACACGCTTCTGTCTATTTGCTAGATATGAGCCAGAGCCAGCTGGCCATCCCGGTCACTCTGAATGACGTGCCTCCGTCCATCGCCGAGATGCTGAATGATGAGGAGTGCTGGGAGTTCAACATCCTGGAGTTGGAGGCAGCAACACACAAGAGGTAGACAGTGAATAAAGGAAGACAACATGAGGAGGAAGACTGTTAATCAAAATGTTCAGTATACTGCTTATTGTGTGGATCATGTCAGTTAATTATTACTAAAGCAGTTATTTCATAGATTACACTTTAACATCCTCCATATTGGCTGTTAATGTCTTCCTACCTTCAAAAGAGCATAAAGACTGGAAGCAAGAGGTTTTTCCAGATGCATAACCCTTACACTTAGTTTTATTGTTAGCTGTTTCCCCTGTTTCTAATCTTAATGCTATGCTAACTACCTGCTGGCTGGACTGGTAGCGACCTTCTCATTCTACCCACAGACAGTCGGCTTTTCTCTACAGAAACTGTGATGTCAAATGATTATTCAAGTGATTCAGGGTAAAAGGATAAAGATTTACACGTGCAAAAAAAGACTTTAAACTCTATGAGGATGGAGGAAGAAGAGACAACAAAGAAACTACGATGTAACGAAAAGAGCAATACACAAAGTATTGGGTAAAGTTCAGGAAAACACTGATTAAGTGTGTGTGACCCCTGCAGACCGCTGACTTACCTCGGGCTGAAGATCTTCACGAGCTTCAGCGTGTGCGAGTTCCTGAACTGCTCGGAGGCCACGCTGCGCTCGTGGCTGCAGCTCATGGAGGCCAGCTACCACTCCTCCAACTCGTACCACAACTCCACGCACGCCGCGGACGTGCTGCACGCCACCGCCTACTTCCTACGCAAAGAGAGAGTCAAGGTTGGAAGAAAAACACGCGGACGTTTGAAATGTTGCTTACAGATGCAACAAAACAGTGTGAATCCGTATGAATATGATTGGACATTCCCAGTCAGCTGGTAGCCAATTGTTAGCCACTGCATCTAAAACAACGCATCACACCAAAGTAGATTCTACAAAAATGGTGTCTCCTTCATGTTGCTAAATGCCACAAAGTCCTAAATAATAACACACATGCATATAATATCTACCACATGGATCATGTACTAGTCATCTCTACTGTCATCCAAAACAGGCCCCAAAAATCAGTCAACAGCGTGTTTATGAAAATCCAGCACATCCTTTATTAACAACATGTCCAGGAAACCAACACGCTCTGGTGCGGCTCAGTCCAGTTCTGACGTCACCCTCTGTCTCTGCTGTCTCTCTCAGGGCAGTCTGGACCAGCTGGACGAGGTGGCGGCGTTGATAGCAGCCACGGTGCACGACGTGGACCACCCAGGCAGAACCAACTCCTTCCTGTGCAACGCTGGCAGTGAACTGGCAATCCTCTACAACGACACCGCCGTGCTGGAGAGCCACCACGCCGCCCTCGCCTTCCAGCTCACCGTGCGGGACAGCAAGAGCAACATCTTTAAGAACATCGACAGGTGTGCAGCGGCAGCTAGCGGTGGTGCTGTACTGTTATCTACCGGTGTGCTGCTCTTAAACTGATCCAAATCATTCTTCATCCTCTGGCAGGAATCAGTTCCGAACACTGCGACAGGCCATCATCGACATGGTGCTGGCCACGGAGATGACCAGACACTTCGAGCACGTCAGCAAGTTTGTCAACAGCATCAACAAACCGATGGCTGCCATAGAAGAGACCAGCACAAGTGTGAGTGTCGGTGGGCTTTGTGTGTCACAATCAAAGATTCAACATCTCCCAGAAAGACCAGAAAACACTTTTTTACTGGTCAGTTATTTACTAATAATTTCTTGAAAGTTTCCTGGACAGATACAACTCATTATATATTAAATATATGGAATTTATGCCTGTAGATAAAGCTCAGAGATCATCAGTGGATGTAGTTGTTGATTTCCAGAGTCTTTTCTGCTCCTTTTCAACCCAAGTAAATATTCATTCATTATTAGTTTATTATCTCAAACTGTTTATGATGAATTGTAAGATAACACATACACAAATTCACAATTTTACATGTTCAGCTGATCGACTTTGCACCGGCTGTGTGACTGCGTGTTACACAAACTCAACAATTCATTGGAAATATACAAATTAGGTTCTTCTAAAGAAGCTTTTTATTAGAAATTTACAGACACGTAAAATACAGTGTAACTGAAAGGACTCTGTGTGTCAGTAAATGCTGTGCATATATTATTTTTCTGTATATGTGCAGATGCTTATGTGTATCACGTGTTTCCAACAGAGCATGAACAGCGACTGCGACAGTCAGGCCAACATCAGGAACTCTCCAGAGAACCGTCTGCTGATAAAGAGGATGTTGATCAAGTGTGCAGATGTGGCAAACCCCTGCAGACCGCTGGAGCTCTGCATCGAGTGGGCCGGACGGATCTCAGAGGAGTACTTTGCACAGGTGTGTGAACAGCACTAATACAGCTCAGTGTGATAGAACAATGCAGTTAAAAGCTGAGAACAGAGCTGTAAAAGGGGGACAGGCATTTGTTTCTTTTGATCATTTTCATCATCTCACTTTGCAGAAATTATCTCATTTATGGTCTCTGACCTTCCAAGCTACAAATATACCTCGAGTTTGCATTTATTACCTCCACCGAGCAGGTGGTTTTCACCTGAGTCTGTTCGTCAGTTTGTTTGTTTGATTGTCAGCAGAATTACAAAAAGCACTGAACCGATTCACAGCAGACTTGGAGGGATGGAGGGAGGGCCAGGAAAGAACCCATTAAATATTGGTAGAGATCCTGTTTAAGTGGCAGATCCAGGAACTTTTAATCACTTTTCTTAACATTGTGAGATATTTTGGGCATTTCTCGACACTTTCGTCAATTTCTCAGGAAATAATATTTGGATCTTGATGTAAATAATCAGACATGTCTTTGGTGTTGAGATCTACGACATTCATTATGATCTCTCTGTGTTTGCCCTGCAGACAGATGAGGAGAAGAGACAAGGGCTGCCAGTGGTGATGCCAGTGTTTGACAGGAACACCTGCAGCGTGCCCAAATCTCAGATCTCCTTCATAGACTACTTCATCACCGATATGTTTGACGCCTGGGATGGTAAGAATCTTTTCTGTTGTGTGTTTGCATGCCTCTGCGTTTTGTGTCACACACGTTTACCATTGATTGATTGATAGATGGCTTATAGTTGAAACACGTTTGCCCCATATTAAATGTCAAAATTATTCAAGTGTGAGTGCCAGCATCTACTTTATGCAGCTACGACCGTGCACCTGATACAGGAGCCTAATCAGGATTTGGACTTGTTCGCGCTGCCTCACTCGTCATATTTACCATGACGCCTGATGATGATGACGTTAGTAAAAGGTCAGGGTCACATTCATAGTTTGGGAGTCAAAACAGGTGCTGCGATCTCGCTGCGCTACAAGCTTAAATGTTTACTTTCAAAGAAGTAGTTGCGCCAGAAAAAGTGGTGTGTTTGGAGGTTGTTGCTCTGACACATGTCTGAAGTTCACTTACTGTGAACAGTTTCAGCTCCTCAGCTGGTTAAAGTTTTTTCAGGAACAGGTTGAGCAGAAGGACAAGTCAAGAGAAGCAGAGAGGAAGAGCATGGTGCTTGTAGCTCCCCATTCCCACTGAATTTCCCTTTTAGTTTAGTCTTCCCAAGAGGGAACTTGTTTACTGTAAACACGACTCTGTTGTCACGGAAAGATTCCTAATGTCAGTGGGACAAAGAGGAAACTGCGTCGGGGGAGGGGAAGTTGGGAAAATAGTAGAGGGGATGGGGGTTTACGATCACTCGGTTTGGGGACAGACGAGCGACCAAGCAGAACTTCACTTACACATAAACACAAAAACACACACATGCAGCCGATTTCAATTCACCAGGGTCACTGTCAGGTCATTGCGGGGTCATCGTTAGGCCCAGAGGTGCAGAGCGGGTCGTCAGTGAGCCGGAAATGAGGATGTAAATAACAAGCTGAGAGAGAGTCTTGCACACACTCTTGAGAACACAAGTGTGTGTATGTATGAGTGTGTGTGAGTGAGAAGAAGAGAGGCAATGAGACCTTTCAACCCTAGCAGTCCTATTATGTGGGAGCTATTACAAAGTGTACATAACATTACATTACCACTGTGCATGAACTAACCACACACACAAACACACGTGTTCCTGCCTAATAGTTCATGTGGAATGATAACAGGAAGAGACGATGGCAGGTGTGTGCAGTGAGTTGACATTTCACTGTAGGTGTTTGTGTTTATTCCTGGTTTCCTGAGGGATTTTTATTTAACCATAAAGGATGGGGGTCACAAGTCTTCCCCAAAATAATAATCACATTTCCATTTGTGCTCTGAAAGAGTGACTGATTATATCTGAAGGCTCACATCATGTGAAAATATCACAGTGGTACCTAACGTCACCAGAAAAAGGCAAATGGTGTTAATTTTTATGCCTTACTATAATATGACGTTTTTTCAAATTTTTTTGCCTGACTGTACTGTGACTTTTTTTCACATTTTTTTGCCTTACTATAATATGACGTTTTTTGACATTTTTTTGCTTTACTATACTATGACGTTTTTTCAGATTTTTTTGCCTCACTATACTATGACGTTTTATGCCTTACTATACTATGACGTTTTTTCAAATTTTTATACCTTACTATACTATGACTTTTTTTTCACATTTTTATGCCTTACTATACTATGACTTTTTTTCACATTTTTTTGCCTTACTATACTATGACGTTTTTTCACATTTTTATGCCTTACTATACTATGACTTTTTTTCACATTTTTTTGCCTTACTATACTATGACGTTTTTTCACATTTTTTTGCCTTACTATACTATGACATTTTATGCCTTACTATACTATGACGTTTTTTTCACATTTTTATGCCTTACTATACTGTGACGTTTTTTCACATTTTTTTGCCTTACTATACTATGACATTTTATGCCTTACTATACTATGACGTTTTTTCACATTTTTTTGCCTTACGATACTATGACGTTTTTTCACATTTTTTTGCCTTACTATACTATGACTTTTTTTTCACATTTTTATGCCTTACTATACTGTGACGTTTTTTCACATTTTTTTGCCTTACTATACTATGACATTTTATGCCTTACTATACTATGACGTTTTTTTCACATTTTTATGCCTAATTTTCTTGTGACTTNACTATGACATTTTTTCACATTTTTTTGCCTTACTATACTATGACGTTTTTTTCACATTTTTATGCCTTACTATACTATGACTTTTTTCATATTTTTATGCCTTATTATACTATGACATTTTTTCCAATTTTTATGCCTTACTATACTATGACGTTTTATGCCTTACTATACTATGACGTTTTTTCACATTTTT